GGGGAAAATAAGTTTAGTTTTTAAAACCATCATTTCTGTGTGCCTCCCTGAGCGGTGCCTGTGGGTCAGATGTCCCAGCTTTCCCTTTCCATCTCCACGTTGGTCACATCCAGGCACACGCCAGTTTTTGCTTTATTGCCCTGACAGGCCATAGCACTGTCAGAGCTTGCACGTGAGGCTCAGCCCATACCCAGGGGCTGTCACAGGCAAAGGGGTGTCACAGCACGGCAGGACCCACAGTGGCTCCGGTGACATGGGGTTTGTGTGTCCCCTGCACACAGGGTGACACAGGTGGGAGCAGACATCCTTCATCCAGACTTGGGTAGGGAAGGGAAAACTCCCCAGGGCGCAGCATCGGAGCCCTGCTCCCAGTGCAGCCCCCATGGCCACGGGGATTGAAACCCAAACCTGTCCCCCAAGTGTGACCCCATTCCATCCAAGAGATTGTTTTAAAACAGCTTAGGAGCATGAGTTCGGGCTGGGGTAGGAGGGTGCAGGTGCCTGGCAGCGTTATCTGCGTGGCTCCAAGGCGGCAGTGCCGCTATCGCCCCGAGGCACTGGCAAAGCCCGCGGTGCCGCCAAATCACGGCTTCCAGAGGCCATAAATCAGCCCCAAACACAAAGCGCCAGCAGCCAGAAGGTAACACAGGCACGGGAAGATCTCTGTGCCAGACTTAAAGTAAATATGGTAAGAAAGGACCAAAGTTTGATTACAAACATGCAGCAGGTTTGTGTCAACATCTCACCGGGTCAATGCATTACTGTGGGTGCCAAACCCACCAGCATGAGAGCGGCGGCGACCACTGTCCCCATCGCCCCGTCCCTCAGCACGGCAGCAGCTCCCCGTCTCCATCACCTCATCCCTCCTGCCTTATTTTAGGCACCAAAATCTTCCGTGACTCAGAGCAGCACAAGTTCGCGACGCTCGCGCCGGGCACGAGCGAGCGGCCACCGATGACGGCAGAGTTTTGGGGCCTGGACCAAGAGCACCATCGGTGCTGCCGTGCCCAGCCGGTGTGTGAGGCTGGGGAGGGGGACATGGGCATGGCTCTGGAGCTTGGCGCCGCACAGGCCCTGGCACCGGGAGAGGAGACGCTTCGTGCTGTCATGGCATTGCCGGCCTGCCACCAGCTCCAGCCTGTCCCTGCGCCCTGAAACCGGGGAAACGGGGAGCTGGGGGACGGACAGGGAGCTGGAGGCATGGATGGGGAGCTGGGGGATGGATGGAAGGTTGCAGAGGATAGATGGGGTCCTGGAGGATGGATGGAGTGCTGGGGGATAGGTGGGGTGGGAGGGATGGGATGGGAACTGGGGAGATGGAATGGCAGCTAGGGGAATGGAATGGGAGCTCAGCGGATGGAATGGGAGGTGGGGGCAAGGAATGGGAGCTGGGGGAATGGAACGGGATCTAGGGGCAAGGAATGAGATCTGGGGGGATGGATGGGGAGCTGGGGACATGGACTGGGAGCTGGGGACATGGACTGGGAGCTGGAGAGATGCTGCTGCTGCTTTGTACAGAACAGGCCCCTTGCGCAGGGCTCGCCCCGCGCCCCGGGGACCCTGCGGCCGGACGTGCCCCCCGGACCTGTCCTCCCTGCTGCGGGTGCTCTGCGGGCACGGACCCCTCCGTCGCCCCCCGCCCGCCCCCGCCGCTCCCGGGGCACCCGGGGGGACGCGCCCGCCCGGCGCCCCCGGCACAGCCCCCCCGCGCCGCCGCTGCTCAGACCCCGCCGCGTCCCCCGGCACCCCCTGACCCCCGGCATCGCCCCCCGCGACCCCGATGGTCCCCGGCATCGCTCCCCGCACGTCCCTCGCTCCCCGCCGCCGTCCCCGCCGCACGCCCGCCCCCGGTCCCACCGGCCCCATCCCTGGCGGCCGCCGCCGCCCCCGCGGTGCGCAGCGCCCCGATCCCCCGGCGGTACCTGCTCCCGAGGGTCCCGCTTCCATCCCATCCACGCGGGCGGCGCTCCGAGCCGGGGGCCGGGGCAGGGCCGTGCCGGGGCCGGGCAGGGCCGGGGCCGGTGCCGCAGCCGCCTCACGCCCCTCGCGCCGCGCGCACGCGCCGCCGCCGCCCGGCCCCGCGCGCAACAAAGGCGGCGCCCGCCGGCCCCGCCGCCATCTTGGGCAGCGGGAGGGGGGAGCGGGCGGGACCCGGGGAGGCCCCGCCGGGACACACCGGGGATGCCCCGCCGGGACCCCCGCGGCACTGCCCGCCCGCGCTCGGGCCTGGCGCTGCGCCGCCGCCGCAGATGTTTGTGTCGTGGTTTTTTCCTTTTTTTTTTTTTTTTTTTTTTTTTTTTTTTTTTTTTTTTTTTTTTTTTTTTTTTTTTTTTTTTTTTT